GCAAGTTACTAGCATGTTGTTAGCATGATTCTAGCCTGATTAGCATGTTACTAGCATGATTCTAGCACTCGTTTTCATTCTTCTCTCCACTCTCTGAGGCAGAAGTCTCTAAACTCATCCTTTCCAATCATCTTACTACTTGTCCGCTTGATCCTATTCCATCTCATCTCCTTCAAGCCATTTCTCCTGCCGTTGTACCTGCACTCACTCACATCATTAACACATCCCTTCACACTGGTGTTTTTCCCTCAGCATTTAAAAAGGCTCGTATAACCCCACTTCTTAAGAAACCCAACTCTTTTAGAGAACTACAGACCGATTTCCCTTCTACCTTTCATTGCAAAAACATTTGAACGAGCTGTGTTCTACCAAGTCTCAGCCTTTCTCACACAGAACAACCTCCTGGACAGCAACCAATCTGGCTTCAGAAGTGGACATTCGACCGAGACTGCCTTGCTTTCAGTTGTTGAAGCCCTAAGACTGGCAAGAGCGGCTTCCAAATCTTCTATACTTATTTTGCTGGATCTGTCTGCTGCTTTTGATACGGTGACCCACCCGATTCTCCTGTCAACCCTATTGGAAAATGGCATCTCAGGAACCGCACGCCAGTGGTTTGAGTCTTACCTCTCAGATAGGTCCTTCAAGGTATCTTGGAGAGGTGAGGTGTCCAAGTCACAACATCTAGCTACTGGGGTGCCTCAGGGCTCAGTACTAGGACCACTTCTCTTCTCTGTCTACATGGCATCACTAGGTTCTGTCATTCAGAAACATGGCTTTTCATATCACTGCTATGCTGATGACACTCAACTCTACCTCTCATTCCATCCTGATGATCCAACGATAGCTGCTCGCATCTCAGCTTGTCTAACAGACATGGCTTGTTGGATGACGGACCATCACCTTCAACTCAAACTGGCTAAGACAGAACTGCTTGTGGTTTCAACAAACCCATCACTTTATCAGAATTGCACCATCCGGTTAGGCTCATCAACCATAACACCTTCAAAAACAGCCAGAAACCTTGGAGTTGTGATTGATGATAAGCTGAATTTCTCAGACCACATTGCTAAAACTGCCCAGTGCTGCAGATTTGCTTTATACAACATTAGGAAGATCCTCATTTGTAAGTCGCTTTGGATAAAAGCGTCTGCTAAATGACTAAATAAATAAAAAAAATAAAAGATTAGCATTGTTACTAGCATGATGCTACCATGTTTATAGCATGATTAACAAGTTACTAGCATGTCGCTAGCATGATTAGCAAGTGACTAACATGTTGCTAGCATGATTAGCAAGTGACTATCATGTCGTTAACATGATTAGCAAGTGACTAGCATGTCGTTAGCATGATTAGCAAATTTACTAGCATGTCGTTAGCATGGTTCTAGCATGCTGTTAGCATGATTAGTAAGTGACTAGCATGTTGCTAACATGATTAGCAAATAACTTTGCATGCCGATAGCATGTTACTCGCATGATTAGCAAGTAACTAGCATGTTGATAGCATGATTATCATGTTACTAGCGTGTTTCTAGCATGGTTAACAAAGTCACTAGCATGTTGTTAGCATTATTCTAGCATGATTAGCAAGTTACTAGCACTTTGTTAGCATGATTAGCAAGTTACTTGCATGTTGTTGATTCTAGCATGATTAGCAAATTACTAGCATGTTGTTAGCATGATTTGCAAGTTACTAGCATGTTGTTAACATGATTAGCAAGTTTACTAGCATGTGGCTAGCATGAGTCTACCATTATTAGTATGTTACTAGCATGACCCTAACCCTAACCCTATTAATCCACATGATTAACATGTAGGAAGTCGTGGCCTAATGGTTAGAGAGTCGGACTCGTAACCCAAAGGTTCGAGTCTCGTACCGGCAGGAATTGTAGGTGGGGGGAGTGAATGTACAGCGCTCTCTCCCACCTTCAATACCACGACTGAGGTGTCCTTGAGCAAGGCACCGAACCCCTCGCTCTCTCCCACCTGCCGCAGCATGAATGGCTGCCCACTGCTCCGGGTGTGTGTTCACGGTGTGTGTGTGTTCACTGCTGTGTGTGTGCACTTTGGATGGGTTAAATGCAGAGCACTAATTCCAAGTATGGGTCACTCATTATGTTACTAGCATGATGCTAGCATGTTTAACAAGTTGCTACCATGTTTCTAGCATGACTAACAAGTTACTAGCATGTTGTTAGCATGATTAGCAAGTTATTAGCATTTTGTTACCATGTTTCTAGCATGTTTCTAGTATGACTAGCAAATTGTTATCATGTTTCTAGCATGCTTAGCAAAGTTACTAGCATGTTGTTAGCCTGATCAGCAAGTTACTTGTATTTTGTTAACATTATTCTAACATGATTACCATGTTACTAGCATGATGCTAGCATGTTTAGCAAAGTTGCTAGCATGTTTCTAGCATGATTAGCACGATACTAGCATGGTGTTAGCCTTTTTTAGCATGATTAGCAAGTTACTTGCACGTTTCTAGCATCATTAGCATGCTACTAGCATGTTGTTAGCATGATTAGCAAGTTACTAGCATTTTGTTAACATGTTTCTATGCTAATCCAGCTAAAACCAAACGCTAAAAAACGCTAAAAAACAGCTAAGGCCTGCCTGTCCTGCTGAAAAAATTGGCCAAAACCACTTAAAAACCAGCTTGGGAGACCACTCAATGCAGTCAGTCAGCTTAGGCTGGTTTTAGCTGTTCTTTTCAGTAGGGAGTTGTTAAGCTTTGTTATAGCAATAGACAGCTTAAAGGGGTCATATGATGCGATTTCAATTGTTTCTTTCTCTTTGGAGTGTTACAAGCTCTTGGTGCATAAAGAAGATCTGTAAAGTTGCAAAGACTAAAGTCTCAAATCCAAAGAGATATTCTTTATCAAAGTTAAGAGTTAACCACGCCCCCCTAAAACGGCTCGTTCTAACACGCCCCCACATGTCTACATCACTATGTGGGAAGATTTGCATAACGCCGCCCAAATGTTCACGCAAAGAAAGAAGGCGTAACTTTTATTCTCGCTGTAGTATTGTTGCGGCCGCCGCCATGTCGTGAAGACGCTGTGTGCTTCGTTGTGAAAGCGAAACTACTTTGTTTGGTCTTCCAAAAGAGGACACGACTAGAAATCAGTGGTTAAGTTGTATTTACAACACTGTTCCAGTCATTATAATCAGTGATTAAGTCCCCACTGGATGCAACGAATGCCTGGTTTATAATGGGTTTAATGTGTTTGTCTCGTCGCTCCGGCCGGACAGGGCATCATCACAGTATGGTGAGGGGCGTAACATTTCCGTCACACGAATACATTGGTATTCGGCCAATCACAACGCACTGGATAGCTGGCCAATCACAGCACACCTCGCTTTTCAGACCGATGAGCTTTGTAAAAATCGACGTGTTTCAGAAAGGCGGGGCATAGAGGAGAAACAATAATGTACAGTATGTGGAAAATAATGTGTTTTTTTTACCTTAAACCGCATAAACACATTTCATTACACCAAATACACAACATAATGTTATTTTTAGCAGTATCATATGACCCCATAAATACACCATAAATCTTATTGTATAAAAGTTTGCACCCCATCAATGAAAGTCTATGGGATTTTAGGTGGTTTTGATAGTCTGGTTTATGAAAACCGTAAGCCGGATCAGTTAGAAAAGATATATCACACCGAGTCAGACCGGTCTGGAGTCTGATCCGAGTTTGGTGGCTGTAGCTTTAAAAGTCTAGGAGGAGATACACTTTAAAATTTGGTCTCAGAAGAAGAAGAAGAAGTTTAAATAGGATTTAAACATCCTATTTTTCATTTCATTTCATCTTTTTCAAGCCATCTGTTACAGTTACTGAGAAAAATGTGTAATTAAATTAGTTACTTATGAAAATGTTGAAGATTACAAAGGGGGTTACATATGAATATTTTCATCCACATAAAGATTTGACTGATTTCTCTCCCATTGACTGCTTTAAATATGACACACCCATGTTTCAGGAGTTCAGGACACAGAACAGAGTGGGGGAGCTATGACGTCACAGTAGGCGGATCGGCTGTGAGCATGACACTGGTTCCCTCGACAAAAAGCCAAAGCTCTGGACACCTGCTTATTTTATAACTGTTTTACTGTATATGCTTTATTTTTTAAGATGAACTGTTTTATTTTATTTTTCGAAGCATTGTTAGATTCAAGTAAATTTGCTGTCATAGCTATGCAAATATTTGATTTCAAAAAGAGTATCTTATGATTTTAAAGCTGTATTCTCTCAATAATAATAATCAAGGAGCTTTGCTGCCGTACCATGAGCACAATGATATTACGCAGCGCCTGAAAATAGTCCCCAGCTAGATAACCAGACCCGGAGATCGGCTGAATGGATTTGAAAACAGTATAAACTCAACTGTTTAACTCTAGAGGAGTCGGAATATGAGCCTATTTTCAAAAGTAGTGGAGTGTTCCTTTAAAGAGACAGCGGCCTATAAATACTTCTGCTGTCGTTAATGATCATCAAACAACAAAACAGCTGTGATAAAAATCTATATTTAATTTATACAGTGAACACTATGCAGTGTTATTTCCCCTAATTATTACATTTCTGTATTTGAATACTACCAACCTTATTTAATTTGTAACATATTCTGTTGTATTTATTGTCTATGCTTGTAATTTGTGTATTTGTTCTTATTTTTGCTGGCTGTTCTCTTGTCTCGTAGTTAATCTAGTCTGTGGTATCAAAGAAGTACTTCGCTTTAAGTAATAAATGGAAAGCAAGTTAAATTGAAATATTGTTCTTTTCTTGCTGATTGGATCCGTGGGTCAAAAACCGTAATGTGATCTGAACCGTGAGATTTGACACCACTAGTTGCAACATACTGTCGCTATGACAACTGAGAAAAATTAATATCTTTCTATTTGGAGAAACTCTTACATAACCGACCACTGTATGACTAACCCTTTCAATGTTACAACTCAGATCCTTGTTTGATTCATACTCGGCTTGGACTCAGAATGATAAGTGAAATTCAGAAGAAGAAGAAAACAATTAAACACGCCACGTGGGGCATAGTTCTACAGCATATGATCTGAGATGTTTTTCATTGTGGTCTGCATTGCTAAATCATCTGAAATCAAACCCGTGGATCCGGATGCTTGTGGTCTCTATTAAAAGGCAAGTGGCTTTTATCGTATATGAACGTGGACGTTTTCCCGAACTCTCGCGTGTCAGGTGAACGGATGAGGTCAGAGCTCACGGTCCAGAGCCGCGTCAGAGCCGCGTCAGAGGCGGATGAGGATGAAGCCCGGCTGGAATGAGCGGCGGAGGGATCTGTGTTCGTGCGCTCAGGCCATCCGCTCTTCCGCACAGTTTCCCGATGTGATTCGTCTGCGCTGAAAATGGAGTTCGCGTAAAGCAGATCCCACAAACTTCCCGGGAAGAATTCCCATCGCTCGGCACGTTCTTCTCGCGCATTCTGTCCCAGTCTTAGCCTCTGGTTCACCTCCGGCCGAGCAGCGGACAGCAGCGGACAGCAGCGGGCTCCTCGTCCGATCTCTGACATTCTGCCGAGTGGAGCTGTCGCCTGATCGGCGCGTGTGGGTTTTCCAAACTCGCTTTCGCCGGGATTTAGGGATTTTTGTGGGATCAGGATGAGGAATGCGCGGATGGGTTCCCCGCTGGATGTGATGTATGGCTCAGACGGCTCGAAGTGCCGCTTTCACTGCTTTCACGCTCCCTTCCCGTTCTGAGTCCAGTGCTGCATGCTCGCCTGCAGAGCGCCTCGCTTTCTGTCAGTGATGGCCTTTCGTGGTGTTTCCACCGAGGACATGGAGATATTTGCGCTTTATTTCCCCGCAGTGAGTGCCAGCTCGATCATATTTCCAGGATTTGGATCCCCGTGAGAAAACATGAGCGAAGAATCAAATCCAAACAGCGAGTAAGTGCGCACACACACGCGCAGATGAACACAGCGCACAATGTGTCTGATATATACAAATAAAGATGTCTTATCATATCTAAACTCGCGATTTCTGATCGTATATCTTGTCTGTTCGACCACTGTAAACTTGTAACTGTCATATTTGTTAATGGTAGCGAATGAGGAAAACGAGCTGTCAGGTAGTGTAATGATGAAGACGCGTAATAATGAGCAGGGTGTTTAAGTTCTGTAGTAAACGCAGTGCAGTGCGGCATGTGAGAGGGGTTATCGCTCAGGCTGATGTTATTTACTGCAGTGTCAGGCCGTGTCTCAAACCCTGGCGAGCCGCCTATCTATCTAGGCAGCATGTTTGCGCGTGACAGGCGCCATGTTTTCTCAATCATCACAAGCCTCATTCATAAAAATGTCCCGAACACGAGACCTGACAGCAGCTTTCGCTGCTCCGCGGACGCACTGCGACGGGTTTGCCGAGAATCTTTCGCCGTGTTTGGTTTTACGCGCAGTGTGTCTGCTGAAGTTCCTTTGAAGCGCCGCTGCTGAGAGAGAGAGAGAGAGAGGGAGAGAGAGAGAGG